TGCTTTTGCAGCATCAGCAAAATACTGATTCCCTCATTGGTTTCTAATATGGTTTTTTAAAGTTACATGTCACACATGACCTGAAATTTGACCGATAGTCTACAGAACAAACCATCATTATACAATAACTTTCCTAATTACCCTAACCTGCCTAGTTAACCTAAATAACCTATTAAAGCCTTTAAATGTGTCTTTAAGCAGTATAGAAGTGTAAATATCTTGTCAATTATTATTTACTGTCATCATGGCAAAGATAAAATAAGTCAGTTATTAGAGATGAGATATTAAAATTATTATGTTTAGAAAAGTGTTGAGAAAATTGTCTCTTCGTTAAACAGAAATTGGGGGAAAATAAACAGGGGGGCTAATAATTCTGACTTCACTGTGCATATTTTTAAGTAAATGCCACAATACAAATTTAGAATAATACAATTTTCATTTTTAAAAATTCCTGTTGAAACTTAAATAAGATAAAAAAATAATAAATCTTTAAATAAGATTTTAAAGCTATATTTAATACAATTTTTTTTTTTTATCAGTTTCTTTATTTTTCATCATTTAGCTAGTGTTTGTTAAATTGTTCAAAAGTGACAGTGTAGACTTTTCATAATAATTTTGCTTTGCATCAGAGGAATTAATTACATTTTAAAATATATTCAAATTGAAAAACAATTGTCAATTGTTATAATATTTTTACAATATTACAGTTTTTACAGTTTTCAAACACAAAGAACTACCAGATTTAATACAAAATATTAAACTCTTACCAAAAGCTTATTAGCATGCAACAAAATATTTACATGCTACAACATTATTTGTACAGTAATTGTTAGTGTCACCTGCATAAAAACCTGGAAGTTGTTAGTGACCAGCACTATTACTTGTTTAATATTTAACAATGAACTCCAGCCATCTACTCGGGTTAAAGTCCCCTCAATGATTATAAATCTATAAAAAAGTTGCTTATGATACATTAAAACCAACTGTAGGCTACTCGTCTCCAGCTACAAGTCACAGAATTTGTTTATTGTTGTCATGTTAGTGTCTTTCACATTACAATGAGCAGACAGGCTATTAAAATAATAGCGAGTGAATTCTTTAATTTCTTGAGAAATAAACTTGATAAGTCCAAACATTATTAAATGTAAGTAAAATAACCATGGCCTAAGGTAGAAAGATATTTGTATTATGTAATATGATTGAATTCATAAATAATTCATACTAGAAAATAGGTTTAAAAAGCTTTCTAGTTACAAAATACATTAGTTAAATGTTAATAATAATAATAAATTATGGTTTACAACATATTTTTTTTCCGTAGGGGGAGGTGTTGATTACCATAATGACAGTTTTGACAAAACTATAAAATATGGTTAATGTAGTCAAAACTTGGTTAATTTGTGGTATACTATGCTTTAATTGTAATAATTATGGTTTTAGGGGGTTCATTTGTATGTAAATAAAACTACACATCCTAGCAATGTGCTAAATCGTATTATTAAATGACTCTGCAATACTTTATTCTGATTGGTCAATCATATAATTCGATGGTATGTTATTCTCAGATAACAACCGATGAAAGCATTAGCACAGGGTAATTCTTCAAATTATCTTTACTGTTAAATATTTATACAGCTATCTATATACTTTGCTGTGATTGAACACTAATATAATAAGCAGGATAATAATCATGTTATGCTTTATTCTTGAGAAAAACTGGCTGGATGTACATTATCCCACTTAACACGTGACAGAAAAATGCTTATTCATGCAAGCACAATGCTAAAACATGCTAGCAACATACTAAACATGCTAGCAAGTTGCTAAATTATGTTAGTAATGTCATAACAGTCAATCGGGTTATAATGAAATATTCAGTGAATTAGATCAATAATTAGTGCAATAATGACCAACATAGGCTCATTATGAAAACGTTCGCTTAAATACATTTCAGAAGACCACGATTTATGTTACCAGAAGTACATATGGCTGCATTTTGTCTTTAAAACGAACGATACAGGGCGTTGTGACCCTGTTCATTTTAACGCTTACCTGCTGACCGCTTGTATGGACAGATTTTCTGCTGTTACCACTTTGTCCAGTGGCTCGCCATGTACATTCCCAGACTTGAGACGCAGAGAGGAGTTGACCACGATGACAAGGTTCGAGTCTGGTGAAGAACAGTTTCAGAAAGCTGGTAAGACAAAAACAAAAGCCAAAATTTAAATAAACAAGTAAATAACAGGGTGAGAATGTGATAAAATCTGAAAACATTTTAAAAATCTGGTGTGGGCTTTTCTTTTTCTAGATTGCTTTTTTAAAACTGTTAAATGAGTTTAGGCAAGTGGGTGGTTGGGTCAGTCAGTGCTTTTGAAAACACTATTGGTTGGGTTGCAGTGTTTCCTCTAGGATTTTTTCCAGCTGTGGCGGCAGGCCTTTTTTTTTTTACACAGATCTACCGACAACCTGTGGTGTTATTATTTCAATGACAAATGTCGTGAGCACAGTATTGGAAGTCGGGATCGCATTTATGTAATTGCCTAGGAGCATGCGAATCTTTGTGCTTGCGCGCCGATTTCCTCTGCTTGTGCACAAAACTTCTTGCACGCCACCTCAAATATAAATCTCTTTAAAAGTGCGCAGATCTTCATGTGCGCTCTCAAACAAACGCTGCTGGGTGTGATTTAGTGCATTTATGTAACGAGTATGTCTCCAGCATTTATTAGATTTGCTAGGAATATTTAGGAATGTCTCCAATAGTCCTACAGAGTAGCATTAATGCGTCCTGAAGTAAAGTGAAATGGCTATAAACTCCAGCAAGATAAAGTCATTGTATGCAGAGCTCTAGACCTTTATCTATAAAGTATACTTATGGAAACTGTGTTCATCTTAACTGATAGCTACGTCGTGTTTGCTGGCCTCACGCATCACGCACCTGTCAGTCAGTCAGCACGTCACCTTAAAGGGTAAACAAATGACGCACAGCACTACTACGGTTACAGAAAATTTTACGCTATTATAATTCACTTACCCTTTAATACGTTTTGGTGCGATTATTATCCGCTTTTAAAAAAATTAAATGTTTTGAATGAGAAGCTGTAATGTAGCTATGGCGGGATAAATTTTGGCGTGGCGCCCCGCCATGGAAGAATGAATGTAGCGGAAACCATGGGTTGGGATGGAGGAGAGTGGGTCAGTCAATCAGTCAGTCAGTCAGTCAGAGAAATTCGAGCTCTGAAAAGGCATACACAGCAGCCTCTGGTGAATTCGTGAAAACAAAAACTGCAAAAACATAAACCTCCTGGGACGTATTTTGCTCTCTCCAGAAATGTATATAGAGGTACAATTTCAGAATGAGCCTGGGTTGCAGAATTAACAATTTTGGGTGACCTGTCCCTTTAAAAGTGGTTTCCACTATTTTACCTTGAAACTATCAAAAACAGCCATAGAAATGTGTAAAATCGCTCTTTATTTTGATGGTCCCTTATACCCTTTCAGGCTGAAATTAATTTTTAGAAACAGGAAAAATCTGATATTTGGGGAAAATTATCATATGGCGTAATCCTGACTTTTTTTTAGAGAGACCTTCACATGCAAGGCATTCTGGGATGTTGCAGATTTGCAACATTGGCTCAGTGTGGTAATTAGACACTGACCATAGATATATACACTAGATATCGCATAGGGACCCTGAGCATGCGTCAATAGCGCCGCCACATTGGTACAGTGCCCCCAGGACAAATGTCATTCAACCGCCCTAGTCAACACAGTGTTATTACGTGAAGATGCGGGACTTTAGCGCTGTCTACGGGTGTAGTAACGAGCAAACAAAGAAAACAAAGCACAAAGGCAGAACATTTCATAGCTAATATTAAGGTTTTTTTTCTGTTTTTGTATGTTCTGAACTTTTGTGCTAATCAGGTAATGTTATTGATGATAAAAGTCACTTACTGCATTCACCATAAGGCAAAGTAGCTCCAACTCGCACTAAACACTCGGCTTTTGCTAGATTTGTTGAATAAAATCAGCAAACAATGCAAAAGAAATATGACAACGAGATGCTGCGCTGCCAGAAACTTGTTTTATTGTCGACTAACGTTAGTGAAAGAGTCGTTCGGGGGATTCATTCACAAACGAATCTCTCCCTCCGTCAGTATGAGAAGTGAAAGCAGGAGAGGAGCTGTGTTTCAGGACACGGATTAGATTAAATTTAACAGGGAGGGTGGATAGTACATTTCTGTACACACAAACACAAGCTTTTTGTCAGGAATGCCCGTGCGGTCACTGATCCATCAATGTAGAAAAGTGATGTAAAATTATAATTTTCGTAATTAGAAAAATAAAAATTACATACTAACATCCAGGAAAACTCCCGATCATAGATATATGTGTATATGTGTATATCTCTGGCTTTGGATGGCCACAGTCCTCCACTGTACCTTAGTCCCGCATTCATTTCAAAGGAGCGCTACCCTGTAGCAAGATGGCGGCGCTATTGTCGCATTCCGTCCAATAGACAACAATAGGCCAGGCGACATCTAATGTATACATCTATGGACACTGACGACTGAATATGATATGAAAAATAATTTTTTATGTACAACTTTTCAAACAATGTAACAAATTGCTTTTCAGTGGCAGAACAACAACAAAAACAATATGGGATCCAAATCCAATATCTCAAATCCTCATTGAGTTGGTCATGTTTCCAAGTCACTTTGTCATGTGGTACTCCAAGAAACTTTTTTTGTGTGTGTGTCATCTGGTGAGCAAGTGGGGAAACTGTTCGTTGCAAATGGACAACCAAGTCCTGCAGTGGTACTTCTGAGTAAAAAAACTCATAAAATATGCACCTAGAGTAATAAGGTAGTTAAATTTAACTGTTGCAAATCTGCAACTCCTGCCTTGAAAGGGTTAAAACATTGTGTAATAAGTAACATGCAAGTACATGTCTGCATATTTTCCAAACTCTAACCTAAAAGTTCACTCTTTCTCCAAGCAGAGTTAGCTGACATGCTGAAAAGTCACAGAGGAATGTCTGAAATGACCATGAAAACAAACTTTGATAACACACCTACTCAAGCCTAATATAGTGTATATAAGCCGATCACACTGACTCACGCAGGTCTGTGCACAGCTGAAGGTGGGTTGGGTTATTGAACATGAGAGCCAGTAGGAAGTGTTGTTTTCTCTGAGCTCTGGTTAATGTGCAAACTGTCTGGGAGGGGAAGCTCTGTTTGCAAATGAGCTCTCTGAAGTTTCATCCTGTTCTTTTGTACTTGTGTTGTAGCTCACGGGACCGAGACGCTTCCTCTAGAAAACATACCTTTCAAGCAATGGTTGCAATCTTAGCCTGAACTTTCGGAAACTACCAGAAGTGGGACATTTGAGTTTTTACAAAAGCACCAGTATGGTAAGTAGAAAGCCTCAGCGGTTTGCTAGTTAAATGTTTATTTAAATGATTATTTGCTCAAGGGCTTGTTCAGCCTGTTGACAGGATGTTTGTGCTACCGATAGATAGCTAACACATATGAAAACACTGAAATTAAACGTTTAAGTGTTTTATAGTGGTAAACTGAATATGATGCCATTATCTGTTATGAGTGACTTCATTTAGATCTTTGGACTCAGCGGAATATGACAGTCAGTCAGGAAGTTCATGATGACTAGTGGAGGAAATGAGGGCAGGATGATACAAAACTGTCAGTTAAGATACAACTAACATCTAACTCAATATATACTTTTAGAATATGATGCTGTCTATTAGTGCTGTATGATATTGGGAAAATCTGACCTTGCAATATTTTGTATTTCTGCTATATACAGTTAAAGTCAGAATTATTAGTCCCCCCTAATTATTAGACCGCTTGTTTATTTTTTTCCCCAATTTCTGTTTAACTGGAAGAAGATTTTTTTTTCCAGTTAATTAAAATAGTTTTAATAACTCATTTCTAATAACTGATTTATTTTATCTTTGCCATGATGACAGTAAATAATATTTGACTAGATATTTTTCAAGACACTTCTATACAGCTTAAAGTGACATTTAAAGGTTTAACTAGGTTAATTTGGTTAACTAGGCAGGTTAGGGTAATTAGGCAAGTTATTGTATAACAGTAGATTGTTCTGTAGATTATCAAGAAAACAATAGCTTAAAGGGGCTAAAAATTTTGTCCCTAAAATGGCATTTAAAATATTAAAAACTGCTTTTATTCTAGCCGAAACAAAACAATAAGAATTTTTCTAGAAGAAAAAATATTATCAGACACACTGTGAAAATTTCCTTGCTTTGTTAAACATCATAAGGAAAATATTTTAAAAAGAAGAAAAAAATTCGAAGGGGGCTAATAATTCTGACTTCAACTGTATATTGCGATGTGAATTCAGCTTTATTCGCAAAGAATCGTTCATTTTAGATTGATTGAGAAGATGTTGTAGGGGATTGGATCTCGAATAATATATAACAAATAACATACAAGCATAGATAAATAAATTATAGCAAAGATAAAAGTGAATTATAGTTTTCTGGAGAGTCTCACAGTATTCAGGTACCGATAATTGAACAATCAACACTGCATAGTCTTTATTATATATAATAAAATCTTTATTAAAGTTACAAACAATAAAATTTTGTGTGGCTAAATGTTTTAAACTCTGAAATGTTCACCCAATAACAGGCCTTAAAGGGATAGTTCACCCAAAAATGAAAAAGTACTCACTATTTACTCACCCTTCACTTGTTTCAAACATTTGTGAATTATTAAAATATCTTCTTCTTGTGTTCAACATAAAAAAACTCATAAACTTCTGAAAATAGTGAATAAAGTTTTATTTTTGGGTGAACTGTCTGTAAACGCATGCAGAGGATAAACTTTACTCAATTATAATTTAACTCTGCATTGATTATAATCAACTATAATTTCAACTCAACATTGAAGAGCGTGAGATGGGACTATTGTGGATGCACACATTGCGATATCGATGCTGAAACGATATATTGTGCAGCCCTACTGTCTGTCTGTCTGTCTGTCTGTCTGTCTATGTATCTATCTATCCATCCATCCGTCCGTCTGTCTAGCTATCTAGTTTTTTAGTTTATATACTGATATCAACTTTGTTCACTCTACTAAAACTGCCTGACACACACAACTAGTTCACCCAAAACCGAAAATTCTATCATTACTATTCACCTGTCACAAACTTGTTTGAGTCTTGATTATCAGTTTGAACACAAAAAAATAAGTTATTTTGAAAAATGTTGGAACCTTGTAACTATTGACTTCCATGATATTTCTTTATCTAACTATGGAAATTAACAGTCAATATAGTTTTTTTATGTTAAACAGAAAAACGAAATATGGTGAATAATGGTGAGTAAGTTAATTAATTATTGTGTGAAGTATCCCTTTAACATTTTGGGCTCTATTTTAACGATCCAGGCCCAAAGTCTAAAGCGCAAAAGCATTAAGGGCGTGTCCGAATCCACTTGCTATTTTAAGGAGAGAAAAACATGCTCTGTGCGGCCACGCATGGTCTAACAGGGTTGTGCTTATTCTCTTAATGAGTTATGGCTGTGTTTTGAGAATAAACCAATCAGAGTCTCATCTCCCATTCCCTTTAAGAGTCAGTTGAGACAGCGTAATGCTGCGTTTAGCTTGTTTGATGCTGTGTGTGTGTGTGTGTGAGAGAGAGAGAGAGAGAGACCCACTATTGTGGTATCATCAGCATATTTAATGATGTGATTAGTGCTATGTTTCGCACAACAATCATGGATCATCAGAGTGTATAGCAGTGGACTCATGACACACCCCTGAGGGGAGCCTGTGTTCAGCAGAGTGGTAGATGATGAAATACCCTCTGCTCGTACAAACTGTGGTCTACTTGTCAAAAAGTCAAGAATCCAGTACCTAAGTGGTGTGTTCTGACCTAAAGATGCCAATTTATTGACCAGGTACTGAGGAAAAATATTAAAAGCAGAGCTAAATTCAACAAACAGCATCCGTACTGATGTGTTTCTACCCTCCAAGTGTTCAAGGCTCAGATGCAGTGCAGTGGATATAGCATCATCAGTAGACCTGTTTGGCTGATAGGCAAACTGAAATGGGTCAAGTCAAGTGGGCAGGATGGAGGTGATATGATTATTAACCAGCCTTACAAAGCATGTCATTATAAATGAAGTTAAAACTATTGGCCGGTAGGATTTGGATATTGTCTAGGAGCTATTGAGTGTACATGGGATGTAGACACGTTTTTTGCAATTCATTGTGGGATTGTGTTGCGTAAAGTAGACGCTGACAACAGAGATCCAAACATAAGGTTTATTAAATGGAATGGTCAGGCAAGCAACAGTCAACACAGAAGCAAACAGATAGATATGGGCAATCCAGTAAACAGGCAGATGGTCAAAAGGCAGGCAGCATATAGGAATAAACAAACTAAACAAAGCATAGACCGGTACACGGCAAGACTAGGCAAGGGAAAAGCGGTGTCATGTTCACTATACGAAATACAGGACTCCGCAATGAGTGTCTCAAAGTGAACCGTATATATATATGTGTGTGTGTAATCAGTACTTGAGCAGCATCAGCTGTGTGTTTCAAATCAGTCAGGATCAGAAACCGGTTGTGTGTGTGTGGTGCATGACAGGTTCTTGTAGTCCATTTGCCAACAGATTTGTAGTCCTATGTGATCTGTGTGTTTGCCAGCGATCTGCACAGGCTGACTCGCTGGTGATTGTGACAGATTGATTTAGTGCACTTCAGAGTGTCCCCTTTACAACGTGTTACAAACAGCATGTATTGCTCTCCAAAGGGCACTTCAGGCAGAAAACCTTGGTTGCCATATTGAAGTGTCATTCCAAACCAAATTGCACTTCGAAGGGCCCTTTGGAAAGAAGGATACAACTGAAGGACACTTTAAGCCCCATTATCCTTTGAACAGGGAAGGTGTAAGGTGTCAAACACTAAGGGACTATTCTAAGGGATCAGGGCATAGGAATGAGCAAACACCTCTACAAATCGCTGCACCCTGAAATAGTGTCCTATTTTATGCAAAATATAGCAATTTTGGATACAGCCATGGAAAACGTACAGCACTGGGAGACCTCTAGGGGTGTACTATTACATTTTACCGACAAATCTTTAGGTTTAAATCAAAAACATTGTGTTTGTTGAAGAACAAGCCTGCGAAATAAACCTAACAAAATCCTAGGGGTAGTTTCTTTCCAGCCTAGGTTCATTCCTGAATTTATTGTAAACTTCAGTGTTTTGTTAGCTTACTCACTATTCATTTTCTCTTCGTCATGTAGGCCGACTACAACACTGAATCAGCAGCTCCTCCTAGCAAACTCAACCAAGTCCAGGATCAAGTCAATGATGTTAAAGTGATTCTCAAAGACAACATCAACAAAGTGTTGGAGAGAGGAGAGAGATTAGATGACCTGATCGGCAAAACAGATGATCTACAAGCAACGGTACGAGCTATAATGACACCAGCTTATTAAATGTATTGATAATGGTGATCTTATAAGAACAATGAAAGGGATAGAGCACCCAAAAATGAAAATTCTGTCATTTACTTGTTCCAAACCTGTTTGAGTTTCTGTTGAACACATGTTTCAAGAGTTCACACTTAGCTCATGATTTATACATAGCTTGTTTGGCATGGTGTCCCGGGAGAGAGCCCAGAGCTCAAGGGATCCTCGAGCCCAGGGCTCCCCCCTCCCTTTTGCAGGGCGAGGGGAGATTGAACTCAGGTCGATCTCAAACTCCCCCGCGGCTGAGGTCAAGGCGAACTTTCTGAGAGTGAGATATTATAAAAGGTTTTAGGCTTATTTTAATCAATAATATACAGCACATTTGGATGGTGGGAGGAAACCAGGGAGCCCGTTAGAAACCCACGCGGACACGGGGAGAACATGCAAACTCCACACAGAAATACCAGATGGCTCTGCGAGGACCCAACACCATTGGTTTTCTTGCTGTGGACTTGGGATCCTTTGATTGGAGGATCATGATTAGCTAATGTGGACCAGCTGGGTCAATTATGAGCACATGCTCCTCTCGAAATTAGTTTAAAAATTAAACTTCACTATGAAATTAATGTAACCATCGACTTCCAAATGGTTACAAGTTATTAGCTTTCTTTAAAAATACTGTTTTGTGTTCAACAGAAGAAAGAAACTCATACAGGTTTCCTAACCACTTGTGAGTAAATAGTGAGTTAAGTTTAATTTCTGGGTGAATTCTTCCTTTAAATGATGGTACTAGTTCCACAAAACATACCCAGCAAACACTTTTGTGTTTAATTTACATCTAATAGACATCTAAACATAGACAGATTGGCTAAAACATGGCTAAATTTGGGCTGTCAGTGAAAATCTTACAGACATTTAAGAATAGTCCAAAACTAGACCAGTCGTCAAATTAGACAGACTTTATTTGTGTAGTCATTCATTTCTGTTTACTTGATGACTAGTCTAGTTTTGGCCTCATCTTAGACATCTATTAGATTTTTACTGACATCCCAAATTTAGCCTTGTTTTAGCCAAGACGACTATGTTTAGACGTCTATTAGACATCTATTAGACATCCCTAGTAGCAAAGAATTCTGGCCCGGATTTGGCATAAAGCTGGCGCAGCAGGCATTCATCCGGCACTGGCATACAGCATGTGGGCCAAACATGGCCTGGGTTTGGCAGAAGTGACACCGTCTTTAAGGCAGCGCACAAGATTTGGGCCAGATGAAACTTGTAATATTTGGGCCAGATTAAACATTAATATGCGGGCCATGTTAGTTTGGCCAGTCTTGACCCACATTTAAAATACATTGAAATAATCTTTGAGTAAAGAAAAACAATCTACCAATCAGGTCACTCTGAGAAAAAGCGTGCCCATTGTGTGCCTAAAGAGCAACGCTTCATGGGTTTATTAATTTTATTGCAATTGTTACACACCAACCTATCTGGTCCAGTTCAGGCCAAGTTATGAGTTATTAACTTGGCTGAGACTTGGCCTAGATATGGCCCATGTTTGGCCCTTGTCTGGAAGCCAGATTTGGTCCTGTCATGTACCGTAATTCACTGCGACATGTGGGCCAAGCAAAACCTGATTGTGTGGGCCAGAGATATTTTGCTATGTGGGATCTTTTAAAAACAAAAAATGCTTGCAGGGATATACAGTTAGGTCCATAAATATTGGGACATCAACACAATTCTACCATTGTTGGCTCTATACACCAACACAATGGATTTGAAATGAAACTGCAGACTGTCAGCTTTAATTTAAGGGTATTTACATCCAAATCAGGTGAACATTGTAGGAATTACTAGAGTTTTCAAATGTGCCTCCCACTTGTTAAGGGTCCAAAAGTAATTGGACAGAATAATAATCGTAAACCAAACTTTTACTTTTTAATACTTGGTTGCAAATCCTTTGCAGTCAATAACAGCCTGGAACACATAGGCATCACCAGACGCTGGGTTTCATTCCTGATGGTGCTCTGCCAGGCCTCTACAGCAACCGTCTTCAGTTCCTGCTTGTTCTTGGGGCATTTTCCTTTCAGTGTTGTCTTCAGTAAGTTGAATACAAGCTCAATCGGATTCAGGTCTGGTGATTGACCTGGCCATTACATAGCATTCCTTTTCTTTCCCTTCAAAAAAAATCTTTGGTTGCTTTTGCAGTATGCTTTGGGTCATTCTCCATCTGCACTGTGAAGCACGTCTAATGAATTCTGAAGCATTTGGCTGCATATGACCAGAAAATATTGCCTGAAACACTTCAGAATTCTTTCTGCTGATTTTGTCAGCAGTCACATCATCAATCAATACAAGAGATCCAAATCCATTGACAGCCAAACATGCCCAGGACATGTCACTACAACCACCATGCTTCACTGCTTAGAACAAGGGTGTCCAGGCTCGGTCCTGGAGGGCCGGTGTCCTGCAGATTTTAGCTCCAACTTGCCTCAACACACCTGCAAGGATGTTTCTAGAATGCCTAGTTAGAGCTTGATTAGCTAGCCCAGGTGTGTCTGATTGGGGTTGGAACTAAACTTTCCAGGACACCGACCCTCCAGGACTGAGTTTGGACATGCCTGGCTTAGAATCATGAGCAGTTCCCTTCCATCTCCATACTCTTCTCTTCCCATCACTCTGGTACAAGTTAATCTTGATCTCATCTGTCCATAGGACGTTGTCCCAGCACTGTGAAGGCTGTTTTAGAACTCTAATCTGGCCTTCCTGTTTTTGAGGCTCACCAATGGTTTACATCTTGTGGTGAACCCTCTGTATTCACTCTGGTGTAGTCTTCTCTTGATTGCTGACTCTGACACACTTACACCTACCTCCTGGAGAGTGTTTTGATCTGGCCAACTGTTGTGAAGGGGTGTTTTCTTTACCAGAGAAAGAATTTGTTGGTCATCCACCAGTTGTTTCTGTGGTCTTCCGGGTCTTTTGGTGTTGCTGAGCTCACTGGTGCGTTCCTTATTTTTAAGAATGTTCCAGACAGTTGTTTTGGCCACATCTGATGTTTCTGCTCTCTCTGGTTTGTTTTGTTTTTTTCAAAAAAAGCCTAACAATGGCTTGCTTGACTTATTGTGACAGCTCTATAAATTTCATGTTGAAAGTTGACAGTAACAGATTCCAAAGGCAAATAGCACACTGGAAATGACCTCTGGACCTTTTATCTGCTCACTAATTGTAATTGGGATAATGTTGGAATAACACACACCTGGCCATTGAACAGCTTAGAAGCCAATTGTCCAATTACTTTTGGACCCTTAACAAGTGGGAGGCACATATGCAAACTGTTGTAGTTCCTACACCGTTCACCTGATTTGGATGTAAATACCCTCAATTTAAAGCTGACAATCTGCAGTTAAAGCACATGCTCATTTCATTTCAAATCCTTTGTGTTTGTGTATAGATACAAAAATGTTAGCATTGTGTCTATGTATTTATTTTATTATTTTTATTAATTATTTCTGTAATTATCTGCCCTAGGCGGACTCATTTCAAAGAACGTCCACGCATGTTGCCAGAAAGATGTGGTGGAGAAACACCAAGATGATGATTATAATTGGAGTGGTTGTCGTTGCCATCATTGTGTTAATCATTGTGTTAGCCACGCAAGTAAAGTAAAAACCATCCATTTCAATTCATTTGTATTCATAAAGCACAAGTACACACACACACACTAAAAATGAACAGCTTTTTTTTTAAGACTAAGAATGTAACGTTTGGTCCGGGTAGATTTATGTGTAGATAAATTGCATATTAGTTTGTTGTATTGATATTCCCTGTCAGATTCTATTCAAATATTGTGTGAATATGTTAGGCCTTGTACACAATAGTTTCCAAAAATCATATCTTTCTAAAGATATTGCGTAATTGAGCTTGAAATGTGCAACTTGTATGTATGAAATGCGACAAATGTTATACGTTAAACGTGATTATGCTCAAATTATAATAAAAATATGCAGAACGACTACTGATTCTGCTTTCATCTGTTTCTTGATAAGCTGTAGTTTACCTTTTTGACTATGTTTTTCTATTCCTTAACCTATAGTTCAGTGTTTTCCTATTCATGAAGATATATTTTGATAGTTTCAAACTTGTACTACAAGACTATTGATTGATTCTAATCGGTGTGTTATTACTAAGGAATCACAGCTAAGGTAGTTCCAGGCAGATTTTGACCACTTTACAGATCAAAATTCATTTTCTTTCTGGCTTAGTCCTTTTATTAATCTAGGATCGCCACAGCGGAATGAACTGCCAACTTATCCAGCATATGTTTTATGCAGTGTATGCCCTTCCAGCTGCAACTCTTCACTGAGAAACATCTATACACACTTATTTACACACACATTACTGACAATTTAGCAACCTATACCACATGTCTCTGGACTTGTGGGGAAACTGGAGCACCCGGAGGAAACCCATGCCAACACGGGGAGAACATGCAAACTCCACATAGAAATGCTAACTGACCAAGCTGGGGCTCGAATCGGCGACCTTTTTGCTGTGAGGCGATTGTGCTACCCCCTTTAAAGTCAAATCCTTGTGATGTCTTTGTCAAGAGGATGTATGACCTATAATAGATATAATGTTCTATACTGGAGGTACTGATTGGCATGTATGTATATTGTAAAGGGAAATGTATGATACACATTTAAAGGAACAGATCACCTAAAATGGAGTTCACACTGAAAGCAATATATTCGATCATACTTACTATAAACATATTGAAAACCCTTATTTCAGTCAAAGCTCTTCATATTATTATACTAAAAATAGACGAAAATCATTTTCTCTAATATTTTACTAAAGCAAAACTACTCACTTGTGGATTAACTATTCCTATTGGACACCTCAATGTCAAAACTAAATCGATTTGATCAAACCCTCACATCCATTTGACATCCACACATTGACGCTCTTTTGACCACTAAAATAACCACACAATACATTTTCAAAGAACAGTTTTATTCATCTGAATGCTTTACTTCCAGACTTAAGCTTGAGCTTGTGAAATTCTGTCGTACGGTGCTGCGAAAAGGGGCGGGATTAAACAAGATGATTAGACATTTAAAAAGCGAGTGATTGGTCCATATTTTAAATTCCTGTCCAGATAGGTCATGTTTTGATCTTTGATTGGTCTCACGCAGTCATGTGATGCGCTTTCACAGGTCAGACTTCACCAAGCTTGAACTTTCCATTGCAGCGATTTGCGAAACTTGAGGCACAAGCTTGCGTTTCCGATCTAACGCATTCGTATGAATGGAAGTCTATGTGGAAAAAAGTCCAGTGTGACCGCAGCTTTACACTGATTTCATATTGCTATAATGTAACGTAAACTTCCCTAACGTAAAAATCATATCAATTAGACACTTATTATTGGCGTTAACCAGAAAACCGATCACAAATTGATTACAGGACAGTCCAAAAAATTTGATTTGTGGCTGACATCAATGTAAATGCTAATTTGATATCAAGGTAGTCAACTGACATCAAATCGATTTGCATTTTTGGCGTTTTTTTATGTCGTTATACATCGAGGTGAATCATTTGTCAAGAAACACCAGGCTTAAGGTTCATAGACTTTATTTAGTTGCATTTGTTTTCAATGGTTGACATGACTGTAGCGAATTACTAAAATGTAAAATGAATATTAGACGGCCTACGCAATAAATTAATAAACCCTCCTTTCAGTCAAAGCTCTTCATATTATTATACTGAAAATAGACGAAAGTCATTTTCTTTAATATTTTACTTTAGAAAAACTACTCACTAGTGGATGAACTATTCCTATTGGACACCTTGATTTTAAAACAACATCGACATCAAAAAACCAAATCGATTTGATCAAACCCTGACATCTATTTGACATCCACACATTGACGCTCTTTTGACCACAAAAATAACCACACAATACATATTTAAAGAACAGTTTTATTCATCTGTGAGCCTCACTTCCAGGCTTAAGCTGCAGTCATACTAAAGTTTGAGCTTGTGAAATTCTGTGGTACGGCACTGCAAAAAGGGGCGGGATTAAACAAGATGATTAGACATTTAAAAGCAAGTGATTGGTCCATATTTTAAATTCCTGTCCAGATAGGTCATGTTTTGATCTATGATTGGTCTCATGCAGTCATGTGATGCGCTTTCGCAGGTCAGACGTTACTAAGCTTGAACTTTCCAACGCAACAATCTGCGAAACTTGATAAACGAGCTTGCATTTCCGGTTTGACGCATTCACGTGCGTATGAATGGAAGTCTATGTGGAGAAAAGTCCAGTGTGACCGCAGCTTTACACTGATTTTGTATTGCTATAATGTAAGGTAAACTTCCCTAACGAAAAAATGACATCAATTAGACATCTATCATTGGCGTCAACCAGAAAACAGATCACAAACTGATAACAGGACAGTCCAAAAAATTTGATTTGTGGCTGACACCAATGTTAAATGCTAATTTGATATCACAGTGGTCAACTGACATCAAATCGATTTGCATTTTTGCCGTTTTCTTATGTCCTTATACATCGAGGTGAATCATTTGTCAAGAAACACCAGGCTTAAGGTTTATAGACTTTATTTAGTTGCATTTGTTTTCAATGGTTTACATGACTGTAGCGAAATACTGCAATGAGAAATGAATATAAGACGGCCTACGCAATAAATTAATAAACCCTCCTTTCAGTCAAAGCTCTTCATATTATTATACTGAAAATAGACGAAAGTCATTTTCTTTAATATTTTACTTTAGAAAAACTACTCACTTGTGGATGAACTATTCCTATTGGACACCTTGATTTTAAAACAACATCGACATCAAAAAACCAAATCGATTTGATCAAACCCTGACATCTATTTGACATCCACACATTGATGCTCTTTTGACCACAAAAATAACCACACAATACATATTCAAAGAACAGTTTTATTCATCTGTGAGCCTCACTTCCAGGCTTAAGCTGCAGTTATACTAAAGTTTGAGCTTGTGAAATTCTGTCGTACGGCGCTGCAAAAAGGGGCGGGATTAAACAAGATGATTAGACATTTAAAAGCGAGTGATTGGTCCATATTTTAAATTCCTGTCCAGATAGGTCATGTTTTGATCTATGATTGGTCTCATGCAGTCATGTGATGCGCTTTCGCAGGTCAGACGTTACTAAGCTTGAACTTTCCAACGCAACAATCTGCGAAACTTGATAAACGAGCTTGCATTTCCGGTTTGACGCATTCACGTGCGTATGAATGGAAGTCTATGTGGAGAAAAGTCCAGTGTGATCGCAGCTTTACACTGATTTTGTATTGCTATAATGTAAGGTAAACTTCCCTAACGAAAAAATGACATCAATTAGACACTTATTATTGGCGTCAACCAGAAAACAGATCACAAACTGATAACAGGACAGTCCAAAAAATTTGATTTGTGGCTGACACCAATGTTAAATGCTAATTTGATATCACAGTGGTCAACTGACATCAAATCGATTTGCATTTTTGCCGTTTTCTTATGTCCTTATACATCGAGGTGAATCATTTGTCAAGAAACACCAGGCTTAAGGTTCATAGACTTTATTTAGTTGCATTTGTTTTCAATGGTTTACATGACTGTAGCGAAATACTGCAATGAGAAATGAATATTAGACGGCCTACGCAATAAATTAATAAACCCTCCTTTCAGTCAAAGCTCTTCATATTATTATACTGAAAATAGACGAAAGTCATTTTCTTTAATATTTTACTTTAGAAAATATACTCACTTGTGGATGAACTATTCCTATTGGACACCTCGATTTTAAAACAACATCGACATCAAAAAAACAAATCGATTTGATCAAACCCTGAAATCTATTTGACATCCACACATTGACGCTCTTTTGACCACTAAAATAACCACACAATACATATTCAAAGAACAGTTTTATTCATCTGTGAGCCTCACATCCAGGCTTAAGCTGCAGTCATACTAAAGTTTGAGCTTGTGAAATTCTGTTGTACGGCGCTGCAAAAAGGGGCGGGATTAAACAAGATGATTAGACATTTAAAAAGCGAGTGATTGGTCCATATTTTAAATTCCTGTCCAGATAGGTCATGTTTTGATCTATGATTGGTCTCATGCAGTCATGTGATGCGCTTTCGCAGGTCAGACTGCACTAAGCTTGAACTTTCCAACGCAACGATCTGCGAAACTTGATAAACGAGCTTGCGTTTCTGGTCTGACGCATTCACGTGTGTATGAATGGAAGTCTATGTGGAGAAAAGTTCAGTATGAACGCAGCTTTACACTAATTTTGTATTGCTATAATGTAACGTAAACTTCCCTAACGTAAAAATGACATCAATTAGACATCTATCATTGGCGTCAACCAGAAAATAGCTCACAAATTGATTACAGGACAGTCCAAAAAAGTCAATTTGTGGCTGACACCAATGTTACATGCGAATTTGATATCAACGTAGTCAACTGACATCAAATCGATTTGCATTTTTGACGTTTTTTTATGTCGTTATACATCGAGGTGAATCATTTGTCAAGAAACACCAGGCTTAAGGTTCATAGACTTTATTTAGTTGCATTTGTTTTCAATGGTTTACATGACTGTAGCGAAATACTGCAATGAGAAATGAATATTAGACGGCCTACGCAATAAACTAATAGATCTGCATACGAATAATTCGTTTTTTTGTGGTTCATTGTACTCAACACAGCAGGAAGTATGATTATAAACATACATATTACCAACAAACGTAAACGCAAAAAAAAAAAAACGAAATTCAAGACACTTCACAATGCGAAAAAACACTTAAAGTAAGTTTAGTGTGTGCTTTTCTTATATATATTAATATCTGAACACAACTGATGATTTAATTGGCGACCAAAGTGTAGTACTGTCGACATCTCGCCCTTTCGTTTTCTCCTCTCTGGTTTGATTTTCAATTCTCCGTTCCGTCTGAAAAACAAACAAGAAGATGTGAATTACGCTTCACGAAGACGCCGAGGCATCAAATGTAAAGGAATCCCAATTGATTAATAATAAAGAGACAAGAATGTGACTTTGCAATAAATAGTAAATACAATATCGTAACATTTAAAATGCAAAACCTTCGATTAAAACACAAAAGGAAAACATTACAAGCATAAACAATACGAGCAAGGTTAAAAAAAGAGAATGTATGTTAGATGAAATTTTTTCCACCGCTGTCAGTAGAAAAATCACACAATAAATACAAAATATTATTCAAATAAATAAATAAAGCACTTCTCCAGCACAGCGGCGTCCAAGTACGGCTTTTAGGATTACAGGATATTACAGCTACGCGAGCTACAAATAAAGAAAAGCAAGCATTACAGTTAAGATTAGAAGTGCATATTAACAACTGGAAAGTCCAGAGAAAGCCGTACCCTTCAAAAAGTCAACAGTTAAGCTTTATTCCGTCATATATTACCATTACTTGATGGTGCCTGTAAAAAATGGCATTACATTATGATTAAAATTACATTAGACCGATCCCGAAGAGATTTAAAAAGAGCAAACAAATCGAAGATAAAAGCTTGAAGTGTCCTTTTTAGGTTTTGCTGTAGTTGCTGTTGTTTTTATAAGTCATATACAGGATGTTGGAAGACCATACCAAACGGGAGCATTCGAGAGCGTACGCCTCTCGTACCCTGAGACAATCGGGATGTCAGCTCTTGGCCTGCAAGGAAGTCCCCGCTGGCAGGTACAAACAAGGTATATGTCAGAGTTAGGAGACAACATTCTTGCCCTGTTCTTGTTTTCTTGCAAATCCAAATCTTGTAAATCTGGTAGCCATTTAGCTGTACCTGTTAAATTTACAGTTAAAAACCAAACAGCCCAAAAGCCAGCTGTTACATTACTGCCAAAAGTCTCTATGTTACCACTACTGTAAAGCACTTCAGGGTGCTGTGAAACTTTCGAGAAAAACAAAAAAATAAGTTATGTATACATTACGGTTATTCGATCAAATGGGCATTTTCTAAAGAGGCGTCGGGTGTTGAGCGACGCGACACTTACCTGAGCGCTTTTTCGCTTGGTGGCGGGAGTTTTAACGTTAATACGGCTTGTAGCTGTTTTGATGGCCGCCTCGTCTCTGGGATTTGCCGTAGCCGCTCTGCTGATCTACAGTTAGGAGAACAAAACACAAACAACGCAGATGTCTGTGGTTAAACGGGTCGGTGGACGTTTGCTCCAGAAGGTGGAAAACAGAACACAGCCTCCGAATGAAATTGCGGTTGCAATTTTGGAGCCAAATTCGTAATACTTGCGTGAAATATGTAAACGTTTAAGCCCAAAGTATACTTCCGGTTTTTATTTGTATGCGAGGATGCATTGTGCGACATAAGTTTCGAATTGTTCTTATATACATACAATGTACACGCAACAGCTCGCATGCGTTTCGTATTGTTTTGCTTTTCTCAAGTGTCAACGTTGAACCAGGCTATTTTTTCGAAAGACAAACAACTTCTGAAGACGACAAAAACAAACAAAAAAAATCTGTCATTTGTCGTTCTCGCGAGCTTGCCTTTGAAAGACATCTTTTAGGCCAATTTATACTTCTGCGTCAAGTGCACGTGGCAGGTTCGGTGTAGCTTTTCACAACTTTCAAAAAGTGTAACACATTGTGACAATGTGGAGCGCAAGATCTGTAATTGGTCAACTTTGTGATGAATGTGGACTAGGCCGTATCGAGGCGTATCGAGTGTTTAATGGATGGATATTTTAGTTTTTTTTTTGTTTATTTTAAACACACAACAATTGTTTACGACTACAGTTGTTGAACACTTGCCTGTTCCCGCCTTTTTCTTCATTGAATGAATGCGAGTTGAGATACTTCTACAATTACACATTTCTGACGTAAAACCAAACAACCTTGACACTGTGGAACACAGAAATCCTAGTTAGTGTTTTGCAAGTGTTATTGTTAGAGACACACTGACAGATGTCAGAAGTATAAATGCTGATAGCACGTAGGGTATGCCGATGAAGCCTGATTTATACCTCTGAGTGCATACAGATCTAAACTCCTTGACGTGACTGACGCCAACCCTGATGTGCCCCTCTCTAAAAATATAACTACACGTCACGAAGACGTGTATCGCAATCATGGCTTTGTATTGTTCAGGAGTGTTTGAAGGTGTTCGCCCAATAGACTTCCATTCATGCGTATGTGAAGCTTCTTTTCGCATTTCTATACGTTTCAAAGTTCAAGCTTGGTGACTTGCGAAATCGTATCATGTGACTACGTGAGACCAATAGAAGATCAAAACAAGACCTCTAAGACAGAAATTTTAAATATAAAGCAAATGCTCAATTTATTTTTCTTTTACGTCTAATAATCTTGTTTAATCCCAACCCTTTTCGCAGTACCGTAAGACGTACGTATGCTCAAACTCTAGTGTGACTGCAGATTTACGAGTATTGAGTCCCGTGGAAGAGCTTTTGTTTGTTTTCTTTATGATTAAAGTTGTTGCACGTCCATCGGTTCCTGCCTCTGAATAAGCGAGTTTAAGCTACTTTTACAGTAAGATAGCATAACAGGTATTTTCGATGTTAACAAAACGCCCATGAAGAAACTTGAAGATCATAGAAACTCCACTGCCAGCAAGCATTTAGGAAGTGTAAGAGTAAAACAAACAGAACGTAGACATATAAATGCACGGTTACACGCAAGGCATGCGCCGCGTGTTACGGCGATCACTCCACGAACAAATATAATTCAGCCTTTACTCAACGCAGAAGTATAAACTGTGGACATGCTCACATTAAAAATGTACAATCGCATTGAAAACAATAGGGTCTCCAAAATACCGAACGAAGTATACTTGGGCTTGAATCGTATTCCAAATACTGTATTCTGAAAATATGGTAAGAGACAAGGATTTGTGGAGTAAATGGGTGAATGTTTGAAAACTGTTTATTATTTTCTAAAAACGACCACTGTCCAGCGGTTGTTTTTTGCATGGCCTACAGATTTACATGTCCGATGGATTCAAAGGCACTTTGACAAATGTGTTTTGAAGCTAAGACATCCCTTTCTATATTTAGCACCATAGTTATTATAATACATATGTACAATATAGCTTTGTGCAAGCAAGCCTTCCCTGTAAGACAAAAAGCAACTGCAGCAAGGTTCTAGAGTTTTCTCTCGGAAGCGTAAGGCATGTATGATACAAGCATGTGCATTCTGCTCTCAGATAATTTAGTGCACAATTGTCATAGTCCGGGTCGAGTACCGACAATCCATGAAACAATATATCCTTAGTTTTTTCATCTGTGCGTTCACAAACAGTATTACATACTGCTGTAGTCACCATATCCGTAGTAGTTGTTGTAACCCGAGTAATCATAGCCCCCGTATCCACCGTAGCCTTGATTGTTGTAGCCATAGTTCCCGTAATTTCCATATCCTTGATTCCAGTAATTTCCGTATCCCTGGTTCCAATTTTGATTGGGACCTGTAACAGACACCAAACGTACATCACTATTAATAATAGCTCAAGTGTGACTGCAAAGGACAATGCAAAAATATACATATACACTAATAAAAATGAAGTTTACAAACACAGCGATGTCGTAGATGAGCTGTTTTTCGATTCGATTTTCGATTATAAATAATTAATTAATAACAAATTAATTCTTTGTAGCCTACCGTTTAAACTACCTGACCTGCATGGTCTTTGTTTTACTCATAAACAAATCATACAGTAAATGAATAAAGGCAAGTTACACACACAATTACCACCTGTCAATCACTTTTTCTGCGGGACTCGTGAATAGGCAGTGATCTGTGTCGTTATAATGGCGTCGGTAAAAAAGATGCACGACCAACAGGAACCAGCCAACAGTATCTGAGGTGTTCGCTAAAATGACTAAGTACAAGTGTGAAAGTAAAAGATTGAAGCAGTCTACTGACCCGCTGACTGCCGGGACCCGCTGTCTTGAGCGCATGACTGTGTGTGCGTCTGTGTCTGTGTGCGTCTGTGTCTGTGTGGTCACGTGATGTGCATTTTCAGTGGTAGTGAGGAAGGAGGGCTGCTCAGAAATGCTACACGTCAGTGTGGATGTGGATCGTTGTTGTTCTAAAATGCCAGCGGATTTGCAACGGGGGCGGGGCGGTGGATCGCGATGCGCCCATCGTCTATCGGCCCAACCCTAATACGTACATAGCAGAGCTTGCAAACTGTGTTTTTTTTTTTGTCGACAAAATCCAAAATACTTCCACACCGGCGACTTCATTGAAAGAGGAGAGGGTTTAAGCTCTGTCGACGGGTCTCCTACGTCTGCAGTTCAACAAGCACTTTAACGAGCGTGTTTTTTTTCCCCGCTTGGCAAGCCAAGCTGACATGACATGGGGGCGTGGCAGCATCGACGATTCCATTTTTTGATTCGATAATCGAAACTGAGCATAAATTTAGATCGATTTCGATTTACCCTTATTATATATGATCATAAATTGACAGTGGTGTACAGTCCATGATGTTGGACAGCAAAAATTTTACTAAATGCATTTGCGAATTAATCTCTTTCGAAATTATGTAACAGTTGAAATTGTCACTGTCTAGTTATTTTCGAATGCTACTTCAGCAACTTCTGTACTAAGGGCTGTTAGCACTTGCTACTTAATGCGTTTTCTCCCAACTGATAGCCATTAGATTGGTTAATGATCCCATTATGTTTACAAATACAATCGCAGCCTTTTTTCTAGTGAATAATGTCAGAATTTAACGGTATTTTGGAATGGATATGTGAACTATCTTTTCCGGACAAATTCCGTAACATCCTTGCCTGTGTGAAAAGTTCTTTTTTGAATGTACCAGTAAAGTTGTTGTGGTAATTTTCCGGATATTTAACGGTATCGCTGTTAATGATTGGTTGATGTTCGAATTTACTCTTGGCCACACAAAAGCTTTTTATTTAGCTAATTATAAAAAGAAATTAATATACAGAGCGGCATCAGACCAGGAGACAGAATTTATGGGGGTTTTCCATTGCATGCTACAGCTAGGTTCACTTTTATGGGTTTTTCCACAGCATACAACACCCAGTATCTGATTAATCCCTTTCACACATACAGACCTTCCCGGATAATTACCGGCAATTTTACGGAAAGGTCTGTATGTGTGAACAGGCCCTTTTTAAAAAACACCTGTAAATTGGTTCCTGCAATTTTCCCTTTCACACAGTGATACCAGCAAGTGTTTTGATTGTTTCCGATTGTGTTTTCATGACTATACATAAAAAGTAGAATAATTTAATGTGAAAATGTTAGTTTGCAACATCAAGCAGAATCAACGGAAATAAATGAGACCGGAAGTCTTAAGCCAAAAAGATTCCAACGACTGCGCCCGCTCGCATGTGAAGGATATGGTCAATAGAGTCAACTTGATTTCAGCTCTCCTCGACGCACACACCAGCAAAGACACAGCTCCCATTGAAAATGAATGACTTCCGGCTACTTTGAACGCAGTTAGTTAATACCATCATGAACATTACCGAAGCACATCAAGGAGGCACATTAGCGACTTTAGCCACCAGCCAGGGTGACCAACAGCTACAAATTTGCTGCTACTGTGAATGAGGTTTAAGGTCCGATTACGAGGCTTCAGCGTCAACGCTTGACAGAGGGTGTCTCTGAAGTTGGGGCTGACGTGATCGTTATAGCAGCGTCAGCCAATAAAATTAGTCTGCAATCGGCTACTGTTTAGACTGGTGTATTTCCATAAAGCAATCTGATTGGCTGACGCGAAGGTCCAAATTCTGCAGTGAGCACGGATTCACAATGCAGTTCGGAAACGTCTGACATCACCCATTAAAAGTGAATAGGAAGCGTTGACGCTGACGCTCCATGTGAATGGGGCGTAAGGCAACTAATCTTTTCACGACCTGACGGCTAACTGCTCAGAGAAAACGCAATAGTATAGAGAACAAAAAGTGTGATGCGCACCTCCTCTGCCTCTCCCTCTGGAAGTGTATCCTCCTCTTCCACCCCACTGCTGCTGCTGCTGGTACTGCTCCTTCGACATCGCCACCTTCACCTCACACTGCATACACAAGCACACACACATTACACCATATATATTCACAATGAGCATTTCAACACAGATTCTAAAATAATAATAAATGATTGTGTTTAAAGATGCCTTAATAGCATATAGATATAGATATGTGGATCATTTAGCACTTTCAGCTTTTCCACAATTATTTAAAGATGTAAAAACAGATTTGTTAAAGAGCCCTATTCTGGGTTTTTGAAAATGATCTTCCATGTAGTGTGTAACACATCTCAAGTGACGTGAAATATGCAGCTTAGGCTTAAATCTGAAAGTGCACAGTGTTTAAAACTATTGATTCATCTATGAAAGAGTCGACTCAAAATTGCTTCACATAAAGCGTCTTAATAACGAGTCTTTAGCCGTTTCGGTGTGACGTTGAGACGAAACTTAAGCCAATTGTTGCGCGCCCGGAAAAATTGATAAACACTGTAGAAGATCCAGGTGGAATCAAGTCGTGTAAACATTGTGCTCAGCTGGACATTATTGGAAGTGTGAGAGGAACGTTAGTGGTATTTTCTCTACCCAAAAATGAAACTGAATAGTCAGTGGTTGAGATTTATTTTTGCAAAAATACCTCAGCATTATAGCCCCAGCATTGTGCTGTGTTTCCGTCATTTTTCTGACAAATGCTTCTGGAATCAACATGCTTACAACGGGGGATTTGTCAACCGTTTGTTAAAGGAAGGATCAGAAAAGTCTATTGATGTATGAGACTTTGTCAGAGCTCGACAGGAACTTTACAGTGCACAGTTCATGGACCAGTTTCTTCCTCCATTTCACAAGTGTAAGTACGTGCAATTAAAATAGTTGCCTCCTTGTTTTCTCTAGCTAGCAAATGATGTATTTAATTGTGTTTTGTTACATGAAATCGCTTGTAGTGTATTTGGTTAACTCTTTATGTTCTCCTATCGCGTCTAATGCTGCATTGAAAACGCGACGCATGCTGCTTTGTTTACGGCTTTAAATGCGTTTGTGAGCTAGCATTATACTGACGTTTGTCATTGCTATGGCCACCATCAGCTGTAATTACAGGAGTTTTCCAGGATTAATAACAAAACGGGAGGGTGGTGGGAGATGGGTCTGAAATACGAAAGACTCCCCGGAAAAACAGGCATGTTGGAAAGTATGCTCAGACATACACCATGCACTGACTACTTCAATATTGTTGATAAGCAATTCACTCTGTCTAGCGCTGAAGGCTGTCGACCAATTGCAACAGACTGTCATTGGCCCAATCAGCGCAGGGGAGGGGAGGGGTTTGGGAACAAATGAATCACTGAACAGATCGTATGGGGGTCGCTGGAATAATTAGGTAAAAATAAATGCACATTATAAGACAATGAAAGTGTTTTTTGTCCTTGCATGCATATCAAACTGTTGTTGTAGACCACCAAAACCAAAACATGAGCCTTTATAATGTATAATAGGGGCTAATAAAACAGAATAGTTTAATGAAATCAAGCATATTCATTTCCATATTCCCCCACTGCATTATCAATACTATATACATTTCAAAATGGTCTTATAATACACAAAAGCAGTCAGGAATAAACCCAAAACAATTGTTGTCTGCCACTTAAATGGATTAATTTCTTCTGACAAATAGGCTTTAATTAAAACTTGGCTGCCAAATGCAGTAAAAACGCACAAATTAATTTGAAATCTGTGCTAACAGATTTTTAAAAATGTGCCACATGGTTAAGAAAACTGCAACACCCATAATGCACTAAGCATGATGCCATGCTTACTACTTCATAGGCCTGATCAGAGATTCAAATACTCCTTTGCTTTAGCAAACTCTCAGTCACAGTGGTATCAATAGTAAAGTCTCCGTTTCAGACTAAACAAACACAAGGTTTAAGGTCAAACGAAGTAGTGGAAAACTATGTGGTTTCAACCAAATTTTTGTGTAAGAAACGCCATTTACAATGTTCAAATGAAGTCATCATTGAACTAAAACAAAGGAACAAATAACAATTAATCTTATGGAAACAAATATTTAAAGGACTGGTTCACCCAAAAATGAAGAAATGACTCTCAAGAGGTTCCAAACCAGCTTGTGTTTGTTTTTTCTGCTAAACACTAAAGTAAATATTCTGAAGAAAGCTGAAAACCTTTTGGTTACAGGTTTTCAGCTCTCTTCAGAATATATAGCTTGTATTTAATAGAGGACAGAAACTTAAACAGGCTTACAACAAGTGCAGGATGAGTAAACAACGATTTTCATTAACTATTCCTTTAACGCAGGGGTGTCAAACTCAATTCCTGGAGGGCCGAAGCCCTGCACAGTTTAGTTCCAACCCTGCTCCAACACACTTACCTGTAGGTTTCAAACAAGCCTGAAGGACTCAATTAGTTTGATTAGGTGTGTTTAATTAGGGTTGGAACTAAACTGTGCAGAGCTGCGGCCCTTTTGGAACTGAGTTCTTCTGTAGATTTTAATATATTTGTTTAAAAAAAAGACTTCTTAACGTTGTTTAAATCAGATTTTGAAAGTCTATTTTAATGTGTGTAAATATATCTAAAAGTAGATTTCATTTTAATGATGAGAAACTGCGTTTGCTGTAAGATAACAAACCAACAACTGTTATTACAGACACGCTCAGATCCAAAAGTGCTATTAAACCGTACCTTGCTTAACCCAATGTTGTGGTACTTCTTCTCCATGATTTTCTTTACCGGCTCCTCCTCTTTAAATGTTATAAAACAAAATCCACGTCTTTTGTTAGTTTTATTCTCCATTGGCAGCTCAATGGATTCCACCTGGAGGGTAAAAAAAAAGATTGAATGCAAACTGCTGTAGGATTTTCTCTAGTTTTATGTAAACATCCTATTAACTCCATACCTCTCCATAGGCATCAAAGTACTCTCTAATCTTCTCCTCTGGGGTATCTGGAGAAAGTCCTCCCACGAATATCTTCTTCACAGGCTCTTTAGTCTTCATGGCCTTTGCTTTTTTAGGATCAATCACTTTTCCGTTCAGTTTGTGCTCCTTTTGAGTGATCACCTAGGATTATTTCGAGTCAGGATTTCAATTATTCAGTCAAGACCATAACAAAAATACTGTTGATTCTGGTAAGCATCTATCCAAAATGATACCTTTTCCACACTTTCAGCTTCTTTAAACAGAACAAAGCCGAATCCTCTGGACCTGCCTGTCAAAGGATCCAGTTTCAAGGTGCAGTCGACCACCTCTCCAAATTTGGTGAAGTAATCTTTCAGGTCTTTCTTTGTTGTGTCCCAACTCAATCCTCCAACGAACATTTTCCTAAAAACAAAAAAGACATAACATTAAACATTAAAGGGATAGTTTTTACCCAAAATTGACAATTTTGTCATCAATCAGGCCCGGTTTAATTTAACAACTTTTGTTGAGGTTACACGAGGACGGAAATCCACACTACCTCAAAGTTTTCGACCCATAAAAACGAAGACATTTGAAACGCTGCAGAGACTGTTTTCGATTGGAACACTGGTGCTCTGCTTCAGTGTGGACCATACCTGCCAACATTCGTCTCTGAAAATATAGGAGACCGGGGATGACGGGAGGTGGGGGCTGGAGGAGGGGGTAGCAAACTGAAGACTGGGGTCCCTGGTCAGTACTACCAAGGTCGACAATCTGGGGACAGTACCAAAAAGCTGAGGAGCAGGTGGGGTGAAATTTCTGGAGTTTTCCGGGAGACGGAACAAACGGGAGATGGGTCTGAAATACAGGAGACTCCCGGGAGTGTTGGCAGGTATGGTGTGGACTAGGGCTAGGCAATTAATTGAATTGTAATTGCAAACTCTGTCCAGCAAAGTTCCAATTGTCATGCACATCTTCTCAAGGCAGTATGGTTAGGGAATGGGATGATATTCAGGTTCAAAGTTTGCCATGGTTTGGAAAAGCCCTGCCGTTTTAAAATCACAAAAATGTTCTGTTATACTGTTATGACATATACAACAGAGTTGGGCGATGACGACCAATTTGGCATCAATGTCTAATGTGAAACATCGCAATAGACGATGACATCATCGTCATAGGCGTTGGTGAATTAATTATTCATGAATAATTAAATAATTCATACCAAATTGATTATTTGTCGCCTACCGTTTCAACTACCTGACAGGCATGGTCCGTTTTAGCCATAACCAAATCATAAATAAATAAAGATAAGTTATGCACAAATTACCACCTGTCAATCACTTTTTCCGCAGGACTCTGACATAAATAGGCAGTGATCTGTGTTATTATAACGGCGTCGACAAACTTGATTGGTAAAATATCTTTAGTGTAAAGTATCTGAGGTGTGACACGTACAAGCGTGAAAACGAAAAACAAAAGCAGTGTACTGACGCTGTCACACGTTCCCTGATGAATTTAAAAGACCGAAGAAATGTTAGATAGAGACCAGCTTAATTAAATGTCACGTTTAACAACAATAGTGAGACGCGATTCAGTGGGACATCCTTAATAAACTGTCCAACGTGCACTGCTTAAAGCATCCGCTGAGCTGGAGCTCAGACGAGCACACGACAGTAAATGTGTGTGTGGTCACATGATGTGTGTTTTTAGCAAGTGGTACTCGTATAGTGTGGAAGGAGGGCTGTTCAGAAATGCTAGATGAAACACCAGTGTGGACGTGGATCATTTTCGCTTCTAAAATGCCCACTAAGACGTATTAGAGTAAACGGGGCCCAAGTGTTTTTTGCGAACGGGTTTGTGTCAGCTTAGCATTTTGACATCTATTGGCCATCGACAATAGACGATGGCATAGTCTATTGACCCAACCCTAATATACAAAGAACATATTTTCGAAAGGTAATCATAATACTGTAGTATTGTAGCAAATCTCCTGAGGAAAATAGCAGTTATTGATTAAACAGAAGATTTAACTTCTTACACTGATTCGTTGATAAAAACTTAAGTCGGAATTTCAGGTGAGGCTTTTACTACAGCCGTAGCTCATTGAGAAGCGACACAAACAGCTCTAATTACCTCAGAACCATTATCTCTATGTCATTATTGACCGCTTAAATTCATATTTAAACCGTTTTTTTCCATAGCTTATTCGTCTACTACAACTCTATGTAGTAAACGCTGCTCTTTTTAAATGCATATGCTGGAGGTTTACTAGAACTTGCTTTACTGACAAAATGCGCATGAAAACTGCCTCGATTAAAGCGCCCTGCTCTATTGTAGACGGAGCAAATTGGAGACATTAGAAAATGAAGGCATGGCTGTTGACATTCGCTCCCTGATTGGGTCTTTTGAGTCATCGCATATCCTTCCGTTATTCGTCAACCCCCTATCACATGACCATAATGCTACCAGAAGACAGATGATCATTTTCGCAGCCATTATGCAGTTAAAATCTGACTGTGTTCTAGTCCAATTTTAGACACTCACTCGCTAACTTTCCTTCACTTGTTCCCTCGGGGGAATCTCCAATGACAGTTTAAAGTGTGTTCCACTTCATCAAGTGAACGAGGGAAGCTTACATGAACATACCCTCAAGGGGGTCGCACATTGGTTATGTCGCTCGGCTATGCGTCACTTATTTTCAAATTCTAAACATAGATTTCTATTAGGGTACGCACACCCGCGCCGCAAGTCAGTGGCTGTCCGCGGTGCCCAGCTATGACTCAGAACAATGTTCATATTTCTGCCGCACCACAGAGCGACATCTGAATAGTTTCATTTTAATTTCATTCGAATGTGCGCGTCTGGTGTGCAACACTTCCAACTGATCCCCTTGAATCCCTCGATTTTGAGTGAGGGAGCGAGTCCCCTTCATATGCCTACTATGAACCTCTGTGTTCCAGAATGCGATGTGATTGTGACGTCACAACAGTGTAATTCTCAAGTGCTCAAGAGCATTTATTGAAACCCATTCAGATGTTCCACCAGGGGTCGACACTTGTGTAACGTAATCAATGATGCACATCCGAGGAAAAGAGGTGAAGGTAAGTTAGCGAGTGAAGGGCATAAAAATATGGACTGGAGTGCAGACTCTGTTGTTGACTATAGGACTGTGCGATTTGGGGAAATTATCTAATGGTGATTTTTTTTGACAGATATTGCAATTTCGATTTGATTTGCAATTTATTTTGCAGTCAAGCTTCAGCTCAATCTGTATCGTAGCTTCTTATTGCTAAATGCAGTGAGTGTTAATTAAAAAAAGGAACAGTATTAAATTATATTAGCAAACAACTCTGAAATTGTACTTTGCTGTTGCTAGCTACTAGATTGAGTGTCACTGGCAGTACTTTTAGTTACATTTTTAGCAAAATGCTCCTCATATCGTCACCTGTGGTACTTTTTTAGGTGCTGGTTGTTGCATTTTCTCATGCTGTGGCCACAATTCTGCAACAGCTCTTGCAAATTACCAAGTTTTGTTTGGTGTCTGTGACTTTGAAACCAATATATTCCCATATTACTGACATGCTTATTTTCTTTAACATTAATTAGTCTATTAATGCTTCTGAAGCGGCAGATGCTATCATCCCACTCGTTCGCGCTTTCCTGTTTGTTTTTATTGTGGGCGTTCTGCATAGTTCGGTTGCGCAATTCTGATTGGGCAGAATAAAAGTAAGCTCACTCAATTGGCTAGTAAGACTGTCACACACAGAAGGCAGTCATGCATTTGCTCTGGGTGGGGGAAGTTAAATTTATATTTCATATAGCAGCCTCTTGCGATTAGCTAATCGAAACGATTCAAATCACGATTGTGATTCGATTTTGATTAATCGCACAGCCCTAGTTGCCTAGTAACCACATGCTGAGTGAAGCACATACTTCCTGTTTATACTTGAACATACATTGTATGGTCACATGATGTACGTTGTTTAGTAAAGCAATATGGTGTGGACGGAGAACTTTCCAGAAACAATAAATGAATGCTATTGTGGGCTTAGATTGTTTTTGTTCTTCAAAAAAAAAAAACTTTTCCTTAAAGGAAAAGAAAAAACAATTCAAAAAAGGAAATAGTGCAAATTCCTTACTTACCTTCCACTTGAACAGAACAAATGATATTTTGAATAAAGCTGAAAACCCCTTACTTCCATAGTATTTGTTTTTTCCCCTACTATGGAAGTCAATGGTTACAGGTTTCCAACATTCTTCAAAACATCTTTTGTGTTCAACAGAAGATAAAAACTCAAAGGTTTGGATTTGGAATCTCTTGAGGCTTGAGAAAATAGTGAGAACGTTTTAATTTTGAGGTAAACTTATCTCTTTAGAGTGATTTCTATCTGATTTTAATCAGATTTCAACTCGGGAGGGATAAACTTAACACACCAAAGTAGAGTAAATAGGTTACTTCATTTCATTTATTCTAAAAATGCCTGAGAACATGATATGGATTAGCATGTTTGTCAGACAGCAAATACTGGGTTGTAATTATATGTAATGTGATGTGCAGCACTGTGACTTTTAACATAAGCAGCTCATGATAACAGTGTTTTTAGACTCAGTGCACCTCGGTTCACTGTAAATAAATCCTGCTCTTCTGAATGCCGTCTTCGCGAATGCTGCATTTGAGTCTGAGTCGCTTATAGACCATTTCAATGTGGTCATGTCATTGGCCCATGAACATTTCCTGCATGTTATCAAACTATTTCATAACTGTAACAAGAGGCAATTCAATCGTAACTTGATAAAATAGCTGTCATAACATCATTTATCAATATGTGGCTCTTTTTGGATTCTCGAAAGCTACAGAAATAAAAAATGTAAAACAGGAAATACATTGGGACTATTGTTTTTGTTTACGTCCCATAAAATGGTCTATGATGTGCATTTGAAAATGTAACTGTGATGGAGTATCTTTCCAGGCTAGTCAAGAGAATCTGTTGATTAACAGAAGCATTTCATTATTTTCTTACAAAAATTAAAACAACCATAAATATTAGATTTAATTTTCATTTTAAAAATAAATTAGCATTGCAGATTAGCAGCAAAATAATTGATGTTTATTAACTTTCCATATTGACTATTACACGTGTATACCTGTAGTTATGACCAGTCTTTATAGGAAATAATAATTATATAAACAATGACTACCTTGTATGACTAGTCTAAGTAGTTTCTGCAACCGACCATAGATGATTATATTTCAGTCTTGTTTTGTCATAAAGTAATTCATTTATGCATACTAGACAAAAAAACACCATTCAGTTCTAAATCCGAGTTTCTCAAAATATGCTTTTGTCAAATTGACATTTGACAAAGCTGCATTTGAAAGGCAAATGTATTTGGAAAATGAGTCAACTTGCAGCTGTCCATTAAAGCGACAGTTCACCCAAAACAGAACATTCTGTCATCATTCACTCATCCTCCACTTGAACAAACCTCAATGAGTTTTTTTTTTCTGTAAAAACACAAAAAGGATATTCTGAACATTTTTGGAAATCATTGACTTCCACAGTATATGTTTCCTGCTATGGAAGTCAATGGCTACAGCTTGGCAACATTTTTCAAAATATCTTTTTCTGTGTTCAACTGAAAAAGGTTTGAAACCATTTGAGTGTCTTTCATTTTAGGGTGAACTATCAAACGAATATTAGGGAACACTTTACAGTGAGACGGGCAATACATCTGTTAAAGTATTTATTATTCTTTCATCAATTTACTAAATAAAAATTTAACTGATCATTGTTAATGCATGTAAATGACACAATATTACAGGGTTTCTGCCGCTTTCAACAAGTTAAATTTAAGATTTTTTAAGAAGATTATGAATGAAATTTTAGAAATATACAAGGCTAAATGCTAAGGATTTTTTTTCATTTGAATATTTTTACCTTTTGTCCACTGTATTTAAATTTAATAATACAATAATAATAATTTATTGATGAAAATATATAGGTCAGGTCAGTATCCTTGGCAGTAACTTTTAAACAAATGTTACTGTAAGTAATAATAACTTTATGGTATAAATGTTATTTTTAAAACGACTTTTATAGAGATTGGGAATGTATGGCTGTTAATGGCTAGATTTGGTCGCTACACATGAACAAGGGAAAATTAAGACCTGTTAAAAAGATTTAAGACCTACAACACGATGTTTCAGTATATTTAGACTTCTTAAAGCCTAAAATTTAGCTTTTGAGATTCAAGACAATTTTAGACACAGCAGATACCCTGTACTAGGATATGACTAGTAAGTTATATTTTAAACAAAAGATAGAAAACATTTTAATAAACCTTCATTTACATTAAAATCACCAAATGCTTTGAAAGCATTTCAATTGATAGTCCACATTAATTACTACAAACGTATGCAAAGCGATCAATCGATACTCCGACACACATATTCATGTTATTTACACAACCGGCCACTTTTGATAACGATATTAATATTGCATAATGACCACAAATATTAATGCAATGATTATAATACTTTAAATTAATATAAAACGATTCCTTGTTGATAATTACTCATCTAATCGACTACTATTGGGAAGCGATGTATGAACTCAAGGTTATTTTATTCTTCGGTTACAGTCTGTTCCCATGGTGCATCAGGAGCCGAAACTCACCCTTCGTCCTCCTCATTTTTACTGGCATCAATCTTGGAGCCCTCGGCTTCTCCCTGTCCTCCATTATCCCCCGACATCTGCTCTTCGCCGAAACCTTCTCCATCATCATTTTCCTCCATCTTCATCGTCGGGTCTTCGCCCAGAAACTGCTCCTCCGACATATTTGATCAACTATTGGCGAAAACACGCGCGGCTACAGTCGTTTCTACAGACGAAAACGTCTTAGGTCGTAACCGAAGCGAAATGCCTATAAATCGTGTTAATGCGGCTCAAATTCGCGTTTGTATTAGTCTGATTTCAGAATGTCGATGGCAACGGCGTCCATTCACAAAATGGCGGAGAACCGGAAGTTGAACGGGATGGCGTCACTAAGGTTACAAAATACGTCAACGTCGCTTCACGCTCATTGGCTGTAGGGCTGGAAATCTAGTTTGTTTATCTCAAACCTTTTAAATGCATAATATTGAATTATTATATGTACATTACATATTTTAAAAAAACTTAGTCATAAATGTTGTATAAAATAATCACACGACAAAGAAACATTGGTTTTCTCAGAATTTTTAATCCCTTTATCCAAAAACGTCAGGAAAAGAACTAAAAATACAAAATAAAGGACACTTTTCCTAATCAAGACTTAAGAACACATCAGCACAAAACCTACAGGTTCAATCTGAACAAAGCACAGAATAAGACAAACTTGGGAAACGAAACACCTCGCTATTTACAAGGTTAGACACTGGATTTGTCCCCAGAGGACCGAATAACGTTTTTAATAGTTGTTTAAGGACAGGATTCCACACAAGCTGCCTCCGAGGAGCAATGTCGAAGTCAACCTGCCCACCTACAAGAGAAGAGAGCAGAGATGAATCACCCGGTTTCCACACCTCGAGCAAAGCACGTCCATGTTTCAGTGTTTAACTTCTTGAGCTGTCGATTTTAAACTAGGAAAACCATCATTAAGGATTAAAGATCATATGTTAAACGTCTCCGACTGACAGAACAGCTCATAAGCCAGCAAAAGCCTCAGCTCCAAGCGGTTTGTGGACCAATCGAGGAGCGAGCCCAAACAGGTTAGCCTTTATCCTGTGTAAACGGTATGGTTATTAAAAACTTTAGCCAATCCTTGAACTGTTTTAAATCAGATTTCTCAGCTTTTAATGGCTTCGTAAAACTCACTTTACATATGATCTTTAAAGGCTATGCTTAAGAAAAAAGCACTGAGGTGTACCCATTTGAAGTTCTCTATGGCCTCTAAAGAAAAAGCAAGCATTATGAGAGAGTTTATGCAATTATTTACATGGGGAGGTAACCAAAAACCAAACATTACAAAGAAATAAATTAATAAATCAATCACTGAAGCTCCACAACTGAAATACAAGAGCACTACAATTGAAAAAAAGAGCATACAACAAAGCAGTTATCAATCACTTTTAGGTTACATTAACAAAGTCCTGGAAAAAAACATTTGGAACTGTTAACGAAAACCAACAACTTAATGAAATGGGGGAAAATCTCCTTTGTTTGTTTGTTTTACGCTGGTACAGGAAGTTGGAAGAGACCATACCACAGGACAGCGCTTTCTCGTGCATGCCGTGCTCTCTGCCCGCTATGTGCGACGCCCAGAGAATGACGTGGTCAGGTGACACACGGCCTGCAATGAAGTCCCCGCTGGCAGGTACAAACAAGGTACAATAATCAGAATTAGGGAAAGAAAGGAAAAATAAGGAGAGGCGCCTTTTACTCTGTACCCTTTTAGCCGTACATTACCTGTTAGCATTGCTATCAACTTTTTCTATGTTATTCCTTTATGATCACCTGTTAAAGCAGGAGGAGAAAATGGAAAAAACCTACAGAAAAACGCTTACGCTTTTCTGGCACGCTAAAAAAAGCAAAATGGCTACACAAACAGGTGCAATTAAAGATCTATAGACATGTACTCTACTCCTTAGGCTGTTAGTTTATTGTCTATTGATCTTTAATATTGAGGTCGAGCTCAGAGCGCAGCAAGTAGGCAATCTTACCATTGTTTCGCCACTTCATCAATACGGCTGGTAGCTGTTCTGATGGTTTCCGCTGTCCCGTGAGGCCTTGCCATAGCTGCTCTGTTGACCTATAATTTAATATATACAGTGATGAGGCCCGGTGTAGCAGAAATGCAACATGTATGTGAAAAAAACTAAAAACACAATATTATGTAAATCAGTGTCTCAACCATGTTCCTGGAGGACCACCAGCTCAGCATATTTTTCATGTCTCCTCAACTAAACCCACCAGATTTAGATCATCAGCTCATTAGCAGAGACTGAAACCCATCTAATGGGTGTGACGGAGAAAGGAGACATCCATGCAGTGTTGGTGGTCCTCCTGGAATGTGGTTGAGAAACACTGATGTAAATGACAGTCAATGTGCATTAAAAACTACACATAACCGTATACATAAATATATGTTGGGACAACTACTTAGTAAAAACTAAATTTGCTAAAGGTAAATGTTAAAAGAATCACTATTCAGCACACAAAGTGAATTAAAATGCTTTCAAAAATATTTTTATTTAAAAAATATATATAATAAACTATATTATAATATTGTAAAACTGCTTTATTTCAAACAATGACCATTTAATGTAATATTATAAATCATGTTTTAAATATGTATTCATTTTAATGCCGCTTAATTAGTTTTTTTTGTCAGTGAATGAGGAAGAATGTTGAGTTTGCTATATCAGCTTTTCTGGCCATGTCATGGCAAAAAACAGATCAAGTTTACCACATTTTATAAGTATAATTTTCTATAATTATAGAAATATTCTAACAATTAAAAGTCATCAACAGCAATAAATAATACACAAGATGAAATACATAAATAATAACGAGAATATAAAAATCTAAAACAGTTTAAGGTTTACTTCTGATAAAAATTGGACAATTTCAAAAGGATTCACATTTTAAAAATATTTCATGTAAAGTCTCCAGATAAAAATAGTATTTTTTTGGCAGTGTCAATTAAATGCGGAGCTACAAACTGACAAAGCTAGCTAAACATCACAAAATGTCCAACCATCTGATAAAGTGTTTCATTTAGAGAGCAAACTTATGTATTATTCTACATATTCTTATATTTTTTGTGAAAAGAAAAGGCTGAAAGCCCTGGAAATTTCATATTTTAATGTATAATATAATGTTTAATGTTAATATAAATGTTTATAAAATAAACTCCATTTAAATAAATGTACTAAATATTTTCCAATCTACCCATTTTGACATTTTTATTTAAATAAATAAATTAAATAAAAAAAAAAACACTATATTATGTTTTTAAATGTTTATAAATTGACAATGTTATACCTGAACTAAGTGTAAAATAATCCCTGTACAAAATCCCTGCAATATAGTTTTTAGTTGAAAAATTACATAAACTCCCACCAAATGGGTTTTTGGCACTAACGATTAACTCAAGCCACACGGACTGCCTGAAAAAATACTGCCGATTCATTGCACTTCTTATTTTATTCAACACTTAGGAGAAAACACGTGTTGTATTACCACTGTAATCATCATAGCCTTGTCCATAGCCATAATTCTGATAGTTGTATCCTGAATAGTCATAGCCAGAATAGCCGTTGTAGCCCTGGTTGTATCCGTTGCCGTAGCCTCCGCCATAGTTCTGGCCGTAGTAGTTGTTGTACCCTTGATTAAAGCCTTGTCCTGTTCAGAAAAACAGTTTGTTGGTTTAGTTCAAGAACTTGTGGAAGCAGCAGCAGCTCTTGTCATTTCTCGAAGCGTTTACCTCTTCCACCACGGCCCCTGAAGCCTCCTCGTCCTCCTCCGAAGCCCCGGTCTCTGTTCTGCTGCTGTCTGTAGACTTCTTTAGGCTGGGCTACTTTAATTTCACACTGTGAACAAACATAAGAACAAGATATTCACATCAACAATAACGGGTTAAAAGCCATTTATTCATTCACCCTTTCATACACAAGTTTTAAATACTTAAACTAACCATTATGAGTTTTTTTAATGTCCTATTAATTATACCACAAGTTTCATGATGCTTTATCATGTGACACCACAAAGTGTGCCTTTCCCCCCCATTTTATGCAAATATTAACAAACGTCATAATTCTATTGTGAAGCCTCTGATAATACGATTCTCAAAGATGTGCAAGACCATGCATTTCATTATTTAAACTGCTTGTTAATGATCATATTCTTTGATCTATTTTGCATGATGTGCGATGCAGTGGAGAGATTAGAGCTGCTGGATCTACAACACGTTACGTATCCAACTTATCCTAAATATATGAAAGTGGCTGTTTATCTGGGAGAAGCACATTTTATTTATTTATTTATTTATGTATTTATGTATGTATTTATCTGTTTGTTAATGCCTTATCAGCAGCATTGGCTATTGTCATGGCAAAACCTATACTAAATATACAATGGATAACATACAATCACATCAGTTTCTAAACAAACATTCATTGTACAAAAAAAAAAAAAAAAACAGCAACAACACCAGGAAGAGTCATGTACAATTTTTTTTGTTTGATTAATAATAAATATTCTAAAAATCCTCCAGAAGATGAAGCCTTATTTCCTTAAAATATTTCCTGAATAAATGCGTTCTCTAATATCTAATATCGGATAATAGCGGTGACCGCTACCATCATCATACAGCAACATTGTAAAAATAACTATATGAACTCTTACTTTACTAAATTTTTACTTTTTTTTTTATTTTACAGAGTTCAACGCTAAGGATTTTTTCTACTGGCCCGATTGGGACAGCGGTTCAGATTTTTACTTGCCCTGCGAATATTTTCACTGGCCCCAACAAAAAAAAGTTAAGTTAATAGATATTTCTTAGCCACGTTTTTAATATTGTGTCAAAAATGTGTTTTGAATCTAGAATTTTCATAATTTAAAATGTTTAAAAATGTATAATGAGCATATCTTCGCATTGTACCCACGTAAATGTCTGCTTCCAAGACATTCTTTTAGCCTCATAAATTCATTTCGCTGTACTGGTTTTTACCAGGTTACAAAAAAAACGACATGCTCACAACATCCAATCAGATAAAAGGAACCGAAAAGCAACATGGTGTTTACGACATCACTGAGAAGGCAGCATTTAAAGGCTTACAAGCACAAACTGTTTCTCGATTCTAAGACTGTATTCATATGCAATTGACAAATAGTCGCAGACGAATTGAACTTTTGTGACAAGGCACTACGAATCGGGCCAGTAACAATTCTGTCTACTGTCCAGAGCGCCTCGCACGCTGGCCCCGGGCCACCGGGCAGTCCTTATTGTTGAGCCCTGTTTTATTTACTAAACTGATTTGATGCA